TATTATCGTAGAACTCGGGCGCGAGCGCGCGCAGCGCGGGGAGGCGCGTCCACGGCACCGAAGGGAAGTCGTGGTGTTCGTTGTGGTAGCCGACCTAAGAAGCACCAGTGATAAGCGGCGCGACGCGAGATTGGCACAGCCGAAATCACGTACGTTGTAAGCGAGGACGTTCAGCGGGCCGTAGTAGCTGTATGTCTCCTGCTCGAGGCCATCCCATAGGTAATGCTCCGCGATGAAGTGGCCTGCACATGGGTGTAAGCTCCCGGCGAAGAAGCTGCTCATAATGAGATAGATGAGGGGACGCGCCCCAAGCGCGGACACCAGGGCGCAGTCGAACGCGACCTGCACGAGGACATTGACGAGGTGCCAGAGAGTGAAGCGCTGTGAGCGCACGAACGTGGGGCGCAGTGCGTAGAAGAGAATCTGGAATGTGCTGAGAGGAATATTGATGGGTAAAATATTATAGGGGAAAGAGCAGGGAATAACGCACGCAAAAAATACCTTTCCGAGGACGTTATTCAGTACCAGCAGCTCAAGCCTTGTCGGTAGGTCGGTATCAATTCCATCTTGGCCTTGAAACTTATGATGTTCAATGTGATATCCCTGGTAATACATTGTTAGTGAAAGCCATCAAAAGGTCGAGGGCTTCAGAAAATATACCTTAAATGCTGCGGAATAGGGGATGCCAATTGGTAAATTTGCGAATATGGCGAGCGACTTGTTGAGGGCAATGCTTTTGAACGCAAGATTGTGTGTTATCTCATGGATAGCAAGAAATAGATTATGGTTGGCAGTTCCACCGATTATGTACGCTGTTAGGATAAAGGCCGGCGACATGGGTGAGTGATGTCGAAGAAGGACAGCGCATAAAATTTGGAGAGCCACAACAAATAGCACGACGTATTTGGTTTTAGGCTCGAACCCCATGAGCTTTGTGACCTAAGAAATTTACGCATCAGTTGACATTGCTTTGGAGAACGCAATCGAGCGCACCTCAGGGTGTGCTTTCATTATAGCCATCCTTCGCGTCCGATGCGGCTCCTCCGTCATCAACCATAGAAAATCATTTGGGTCCTGCGGTGGGGCAGTGTATGCATAGAAGTTGGGTTCTTTCCCCTCGTTGGCAGAGAAGACCCGTCTCGGAGATCTTTCATTCCCGCCGCGTCCTTCTGTCAGCGAGTCGGCACCCCCAAAGAGGCTGAAATCTGGAGAAATATGCATCAACAGAAAGCTTCTGCCATGGTATCCAGCACACACTTATCGACATTAGATAGAAAGTTTTCTCGGGAACAAAAGGCTGGGTATCAGTTTAGGGTATAATTCAGTAGAACTGTCGGCCCATAAATTAGATGGTAGTTGAAGACGTGAAAAATCAAACGATTACAAGCGCGTTTGCCGTCGACACTGGCCGATATTATGTAAGCTGACGGCGAGCCAAGTCTGGCCTCGGCGTCCCTTGACTTTCAGCGCAACGGCCACCACATACCCAAAAGGATCTCCAGAAGCAAAGACAATCAGACCTGCGTACGGGCCACCGATCTTGTAGGAACGGCATTCAATTATCCATTTTTTGCCCAAATACTAGGGACGAACTACTGCCTTCCCAGCGTCTACCAACATGGTTCAAGGCATTGCGGAGGCTTCATTCAAGGATATCCCAGAGATATTTGAGGTGAGTACTTCGCGAACACGCTTCTAACGCATATTGACGGTGCAATACAGGTGGAACTGACGGAATCGCTCACGGCTCGGACGGAATCACTATGTACGTGTCCTATGCCATGCGGTGCTGCGCAACGATTAACGCGCTTTACAGCGTCATTTCGAGAACTCGGCCCTCCTGATCTGTGCCACGTCGTGAAAAGCACTGGGCGCTCTGGTCAACGTGATGTATGTAGAGAGACCATGTCCGTATCTGCATAGACTGACCACCGGTGCAGTTCGGCTCCTATCACTACATTTCGGGCGTCGACGCATCATCATCTGCCTCGCTCGCCGCCTACATCAACTCGCTCACATATGCCATCGAAGACAACTCAGCCTGGTTCTCCAAAACACCGCAGTGGAAGGTGAAGAACGGGTGCTACTGGTGAGTTGCGTGCTGCGTGTTCGCATTCTCACCTCACCTCGCGTCCAGCTGCTTCAATGCATTCTCGCGAGTAGATATTCGCGTCGATGTCAAGATTCCAGGCGGCGTGAATGCATATGTTATAGATCTCCGTGGCGAAAGGTCCGTGGTGCTCATGAATATCTGCGCATGTTGTACATGCTCAGACGCATTGTCACCGCAGGCACGAAGCGACTGCAGAGATATGGCAGGAAACCTACGTGTCTGCGCTCCTTCGTTCGATACTGTACTCAGACGACCCAACGTATTTCCTCGACGCGTACCGCAAACTTGATCCAATCACATCACGAGAAGGCGAACTGCGTTTCCTTCAAGCGGCGGAAGCATTATTCCCGAAAGGCTGGCAGGTCGGATCGGACCCAGAGATCCAGGTTGCTACCATTGTCTCAAATCACCTCACTGCCGGGATCATGAAGTACTTTGGCGATAGCGGACGATACCAACAAGTTGCAAATTTGTTTGAAAAGCTCGCTGTTAGAGAGCCCGAGGTTGCTTCCTTGTTGGCGAGAAGTTACATTGGCATGAGTGAGTTGAACTTTTTCTTTATGACGAATGTCTCTGATATTTTATAGACGAGGAGGTGAAGGCCGTGCAAATTATTGCTGCGGCGATGCGGCAAACGCCCCAGGCATACACCCTACTGCATGTACAATGCGACTTCCTTCGGTCCAAGGGGAAACAGCAATGGGCACTTAAACTTGCCAGACAAGCAGTGAATTGCGCACCAAGTGAATTTGTTACCTGGGAGAAACTGGCAGATTTATACATTGACCTCGGCCAATTCGACTCGGTAGGTATTGCTTCGTTTCTACCTTCTTCAACTTTCTTATGTGTTTATAGGCTCTCTTGACACTCAATTCATGCCCTATGTTCACATTCAACGGTCGTGATGCCCACCGCGCACTTCCTGCAACCAAAGTTCACCTGCCTTTCCACCGGCCCATTGGAGATATCCTCCCTGAACGACACAAAACAGAAGACGACGAGGTGAGCACTAGAAGTATCTCATGAAGCTGCCCAACTAATCACACAAATTCCAGGCAGAACCAGCACTACAACGTCTACCTGCGCCCGGCCTCCGCGGGACTTGGGCCCGCGCCTACGCGCTCCTCACACGCCTTGTCTCTCAAATCGGGTGGGACGAGCTGCTGAAGACGCGGAGCCACGTCTTCGTCATGGAAGAGGAGTACCGCATGCAGAAGGCGCAGGGCGACATCCAGCAGGCGCTCGGCTCGGCGGGCAGCTTGCCGGGAACGGAGAACAAGGAGAGCGACGCAGGGCGCGCTGTGATTCACGAGGACGGGACGGTTGCGTCTGCGAGCGATGACGCAGCGTCGACACGCGGCATGATGGCGCCGCCGTCGCCGCCGCTCCAGGCGACCGCGAGCGGCGAGCTCGAGGTGCAGCCGTCGGCGGCGATCCCTACGATCCGGATCTCGACAGAGAGCCTGCGCGAGAAGGACACGGAGTCGGAGGTCACCAAGGTTGACAACGAGGGTGCGGATTCGGGTGCTGTGAGCACGAATAAGGGCAAGGGACGGGAGACGTCGGATGACGAGGGGTCGGATGTTGACGACGACAACGCTCAGGACGATGACGACGAGGAGGGACAGGTGATCCTACATAACGGGGCGAACGGGACCACGCAGGCCAACGGGGTGAATGTGCATGCGCTAGAAAAGCCTGTTCAGGCAGCGGGCGAGGGCGAGCAGAACATCAACGAGGCCTCGCCGGCGCCGGTGCAAGAGCCGTTCTCGTTCAGTACGAAGCGACTGTGCGAGAGGTGGCTGGACAACCTCTTCATGGTCCTCTACGAGGTCAGTCACATCCATGGCCAATTCGCGGGTGTGCGCAATTCTGACAGGAACTTTGACCCCAGGATTTGCGCGTGTGGACGATCTTCCGCGCGGAGGTCGCGCACTTCAAGACTCAGCACGTCGCGTACCGGAAGACGGGCCTTGAATGGGAGATCCTCGGTGACCTCGGCCTGCGGCTGCACCACAAGGAAGAGGCAAAGGAGGCGTATCAACGCTGCCTCGACAGCCCGCGCTACTCCGTGAAGCCCTGGGCGAAGCTAATGGAGATGTACGCAGACGAGGGCGACATCCAGCGCAGCGTGCAGACAGCCATCCGCGTCGCAGCGTATCAATATGCGGACTACACCGAGATGTCGGTGCGTACTTTTTCCTTTTCCCTACACATACATTACATGGACCTCGCTGACGACATCGTTTTGGCCCTTGCAGTATCCAACGCAGATCGCGCGCGCGTTTTTCAAGCTCGGCCAGATTCACGGACACGCGAAGATCAACTTCACGTTGCTTAGCATGGGCCTGCCAGAGCCCATCCTCAAAATTCTTAACAGCTACCTGCAATACGGGAGGACCTTCGGCGTGGAAGGGTGTGATTTCTAGACGGGCGCAAGACGGGCGGCGTACTTAAAATGCGTTTCGCCTGCCTCAAGGTGCCTAGACATTAAGCAAAATTGTAAATTGCTCGCCTGTTCTTTTTCTCCCAGGATTCCGTATAATTTTATATGTCGAAGAAGACCCGATACCTTGTTCTCAGCTACCATACCGCTTTGTGTGTTTACAGCACGTATATCGTCGTTGCAGCTATATCTTTCCTTTCCCCTTTGCGCGACTGCAATGGATCCAATTTATTAGTAGCTTGGATTGGACAGACACGGAAAGGTTTCCTGGGCCCGTAGTCTATACCTATGCATGCCGACCCCGATTAATTACTCTATGATTTGGCTCATTGCATGCGTCCCAAGTTATATTGCGAACAGACATTTTAGTGAGTTTTGTGGGTGCTACTGAGTGACTTTGTAACTCTGAATGTAGTAACGTCTTGAGATACGTTGCCACAAGCCGTCGTAGCACAATGGTAGTGCGTTGCTTTCCTATGTTCCTGTTGGGTGCGAGGCAGAGGCTGTGGGTTCGAGTCCCACCGTCGGTTCTTTTTTTACAGGCCTTTTAGAAATGTCATCGTTACCTGATGTATGTAAATACTAAACACAAACTTCAAGCTTCAACAACTGAGTGCTGTTTGCTCTTTACCTTATACACTCATTCGCCGTGGATACCACCTTCAGCTCCTCGCAAATTGTATCAGTGGCCATTTTGGTGGCTACGTGTACGTTATATGCACTCTCCGGAACCAATTTCTCCCGCAGAAAAAAACAGGACCCTCGACGAAAGGTTCGCTTGCTGTCATCGTTCAACCCTGCGACTTTGCGTAATACTTGTAACAAACCCATAGCTCCCTAAAACTCTCAGTAGATGTAGGGGAAGTCCTACTTTCCCAGTGGCCCATGTGCAGCTTTGGGCAGATTTGAAGGGGTTTTCCTCAGATGCAGGGATTACGTTGTGGAAGTACCGGTACGGCTCACTGTATGTTTGCCCGGAACTCCACTTTGCGCTGTCGGGTGGGTATCAATACGCATTTTCGGCTGCCGCTAGAAACACTCCAAATACGCCAGGTAGTGCGAGGAGACTTGAGTCATTTTGTTGCATCGTTTGTGATGACACTTATCCGTAGTAATATTGCTCACTAATTTTATTATTTTCACAGAACGGACTCCAAATACCTGCTCGGACAAAGGGAGGACTTGAAGTTATTGTCCGAGTCGTTGTCGTCGGTTCAGAAGGGCATAGTCACCTCAAAAGACCGGAGAAATATCGTACTGAGCAATAACCACACCCTCCCTATGGTTGCCGAGCTGCGGTTCGAAGATATCATCTTTTGCCTGTTCCCAAAGACAGTGTCAGTGGTAGGGGAAGCATATGACTACTGGCGAAAAATTCTGTAGGTGATGTTATTGAGATGATTATGCAGATGTTGGAGGTCAGGCTCGTGTTTTCTTTCCACTATTGATGAATATTGTTTGCTTATAAACCCATCGTAAACAGGGCCTTGCGTTTATTCATATTATAAGCATTGCTCACCGCGTGAGTTATTTTACAGGCAGTCAACATTTTTTTGATTGTAGAGTCATTCCAGGATGCATTCACCACCAATTTTGTCGTTCAATGGCACCCAGAATCCACTCTCGAAATGAAGACATCACCCTCTCGTCCGTACGTCTACTGTATAGATTTTGAAGTGGCCATCGAGTTCCCGGCTGAGTGACCTGTTGAAGAACGACTCACCGTGGGTTATCCTCTTGCAGTGGAGCGTTCGCAGATATATTTAGTGGCCCTCTTGCCTTTTACAGACCAACATTGACGGGATCGACGACGATCGACGTCATGACGCGCTCAGCGGCTAGCCGGAACTACACAAGAACTACATAGATTAGAAAGAATTGGGGCAACGCTCTCAGCCTGGTCATTTCAGTGTCCTCTTTTACACCCGTTCCGTTACAGTACAACAAGGTCAACAATAACTAATTACATACTTTATGACCAGTGGTCGAAAAGCGGTATGAAGACCTTGAATCTTTACGAGTCGTGAGTCGCTCAACTAACCAATGATACATTTTGTGAATAAAAGACACCGCCATATCCGCAAAGGGGTCCAAAACGGAGAATAAGAACGAAACAGTATCGAACGAGCCTACAGAAATTATTTAGACAGAACCAACCCGTGGCACGCCCAACCCACCTCAGCGTCCGCCGCGCCCGTTCTTCGCGCCGCCATTGGTGCTACTGCTGCCGCCCCCGAAAGTGAACCCGCCTGCGCCGCCCGCGCCCACCGAGGACCCCGCGAGCTTGTTGGTGAGCGTCTCCACGCTCTCGTCCTCTTCGATCCGCCCGTTCCCGTTCCCGTCGAGCACACCCTGGATGAGCGACATCGTGCTCTCGATGCTTCGCCGCCGTGTGCTCGGGCTCGTCATCGTCGTCCCCAGGCTCGCGTTGCGCGCGTGCCCGCGCTTGTACCCGCCCGGCGACGGCATCGTGGGGCTCGTCGGCGTCTGGATGCCTGCGGGCCCAGAGATGGGGGAGGTGCTGATGCGGGTGAGCCCAGAGGGAGGGCCTCCTCGGTCTGCGATAAGTTTCTCCAGACCTTCGTTGATGCCGTTGGGTGCGACAGGGCCTGGCTGCGCCATGTTTTCTGAGGGCGTGACGGGCTGCGAGGACGACAGTATAGCGCGACCTTCTTCAGACTCGGCATCGAAGAGCTCTGGAGGCAGACGCTCGTTCTCGATATCCGACTTGCGGCTGGTAGCCGTAGTTCAGTTCCGCAAGGGCATTGATAACATATGAAAGAAAAGCGACGCACGCATCGTCGAAGCCACTGATTGCCTCTCTGATTCCTTCCCCGCCTGATGCAAGAGTGCCATATGGGAGCTTGTTGGATCCTGTCACGCTCTTCAGCTCGGACACTCTTTCTGATTCCTCGCTGCATACCAAACGGCGTCAGAGAGCCGGCATTAAATTGCGACTATGATGATGACGAACCGGAGTAGCGCAAACACCCGAGCCATCCTGCCCACCGCCATGATCTTGTTCTTGATGATCTTCCGGCGCTCGGCAGTTTCTGCAGCGGCCGTTGTGGGCGACAGAATCGCAAGGTCCTCGTCGTTCTCCTCAAGCTCTTCCTTGGTGCAGGTGTTGAGCACAGCAACCAGCATATCGGTGACTAAACTATTATCAGCCACTAATTCATTGGGACAGGACGCGACGCACTCTTTTCGCCTACAAAGGGCAGACTCCACGTGAACACGTCCATGAAATTAGGGAGCCAATAAGGATGGGGGGTGGAATTGAACTGCCGGATGTTCATGACGTTGCTTTCGTACTTTAGCACCGCAGCCTTGTTGCCGTAGACGTCGAGGTAGTTGGGCGCGGAGAAGATAGTCATCACGGACGGGAAACCCGTGGTCTTTGTCTTGCGGTACATGCGGTATCTGCAAGGCTCTGTGAGCAGACGAATAAACGAATGCCATAAAATGTACCCTGCATCCTGTGCTTCGTGCGCACGGATAATGGACAAGAGGTTGTTGCGTTCGAGGAACTGGCACGCCGCCTGATACGTAAAGAAATACGAACACCCGCGTACGTGATTATGGATGAAGCTGTCTGTCGTCTTTTCGGACCCGAAATCCTCAACAGGATCTGCCCATAGAATGTCACACATCAGACCATGGGTGGGGGGTTCGCGGAAACGGTCGATCTGAAAGACGGTCAGGAGGCGCGAAACACGACAAGATACGGACGTACAGCGCGCAGATCATCGAGGGTGTTGAGCTCGGGAGACAAGCCGCCATGTATGCACAAGAATTGCTTGTTCATCACCGCGGCGAGTGGAAGCGCACAGAAGGACTCCATGCACGCGTCGTAGACCCGCTCTGAGTACTTGTGCTTACCTATCAGCTCGGCGTCAGTGGGCATATGCGAGGCGGATAGGAACACGCACACTCGAGTTTGAACGTGAAATAATCGGTCAAGTGCCGGCACTCGTGATTACCGCGAAGAAGGAAGAGTGAGTCGGGATACCAGATCTTGAGGGACCACAGATACAGTACACACTACACGTACACGGAGTTGTTAGTTTGAGCACGGAGAACGAAACCTGTGCGCGCACCTCGATGCTGAAGTACCCTCTATCCACATAATCGCCAAGGAAAAGGTAGCGTGTGTCGGCAGGACTGCCGCCCACCTCAAACAACTTCATCAGATCGTACTACTGCAGCATGAATTCCCTGAGCCATTGGAATGCAGCAAGCGACGTACGTATTGCCCATGGATGTCGCCACAGACTAACCACGATCGGACAATCAGGAGAGCCCTGCTCGCGTGGGGGGCAGATACGCACCGGTGATAGGAGCGTCAACCTGCAGGACGTTGCCCTCCTTCTTGAGGATGTCCGTTCCCTTCTCCAATATCCACAGCGCCTGGTCCTCCGTCAGGCGGCCTTCGCGGTAAAAGTGGTTTTTCAGAAAGGCAACGTCGGGTTTTGTTCGATCCTGGCCGTGTTTGTTGAAGAACTGCTCGGGCGTGGGCTTAAACATCGCCGGGGCTTGCACCTGCGCAGATCAGCGGTTAGGCGTAGACACTTATCCAGGTGGGCTTACATCCTTCACAACCCGCTCTTGCGTGCTAATGACATTCCCATCCTCCAGGGTGTGTTGGGTAAAGTCGATAGTCGGAATGGGCTCCTTCACCTGGATCTTTTCCACCAGTCGCTCAATATGAGTGGCCATGCAATGTGCTGTCGGTGTTCAAGAGTCGTTGATAGCCAATGTGGTGGTGGGCGTTGGGCAGAAACAGTGTGGAGAACGGAGGCAAAGGGCGCTGGCGGCGTGACAGGAGCTGATCAATCGGAGATTCTGCTGAATGCGGTTGTTAGTCCACCGTCAAATGTGGTAGATCGCGGTCAACGGCGTTGTGGGAGACGTATAAAAGAAACAAATGCTGTGCGGATTTAACAGCGTCGACGTTGTATTCCCCGTGACACTTATTATCCGATTGTGCGGATTCGGGTCACCGTCTAGTAAATAACCAGCACTGCACTGATTTTATCTGTACTGGTACAACAACACAGCAACAAACTATGTTACCGGAAATACGCCCCAAGGACATGCTGCGCTACATTGAACCCAAGTAACGAAATAATGTATGCTGTGAAGAGGGGTAATAGTGGTGAGAGAAGAAGCTCCGAGCGAACTAAGAATGGAAGAGCTGTAATAATTGTCAGCGAATGGCCAAGATATAGATAAGATTTCCCGACTCGCCATTTAGGCCGAGATAAATGCCATATATATACTGCGTAAAGCTGTATGCAGAAATCAGCAAGAGCTGCGTCGGAGAAATGGCAACGAGACGTACGCGGCGAGATACAGCGTGTTGCCTATCCAGAGACACACCCAGTTATCTTGGAGGATTATTGGTAAAAGGAATAGCTGTGCAAGGTAAAGGGTAAGATATAAAGGAAAGAAGGCATTCGTATGAACGTCAAATGCGTAGGCCCATTCGACCTTTGAGTCCGCCGGAGTCGAATGCGACGGAGGCGAG